GATTTCTGTGGTTACTCCACGCTGTTTCCTGTGGTTACTCCACGTTGTTTCCTGTGGTTACTCCGCGCTGTTTCCTGTGGTTACTCCACGCTGTTTCCTGTGGTTACTCCACGCTGTTTCCTGTGGTTACTCCACGCTGTTTCCTGTGGTTACTCCACGCTGTTTCCTGTGGTTACTCCACGCTGTTTCCTGTGGTTACTCCACGCTGTTTCCTGTGGTTACTCCACGCTGTTTCCTGTGGTTACTCCACGCTGTTTTCTTTTTTTTTTTTTTTTTTTTTTTTTGGTTTTTTGAGACAGGGTTTCTCTGTAGCTTTGGTGCCTGTCCTGGAACTAGCTCTTGTAGACCAGGCTGGCCTCGAACTCACAGAGATCCGCCTGCCTCTGCCTCCCGAGTGCTGGGATTAAAGGCGTGCGCCACCACCGCCCGGCTCCACGCTGTTTTCTGTGGTTACTCCACGCTGTTTCCTGTGGTTACTCCACACTGTTTCCTGTGGTTACTCATATCCCCACATCTGGAATTCTGGAAGAAGGATTGACAAATACAGAGAACATACAGCGATTGCCTTCCTGAACCTGAATCAACTGACTCGGGATCATATGTGCCAGTTCCACCATTTACCTGAAACGTCACCGTTCCATTCTTCTTTACAGCTATACAGAACTCCACTGTGGCCAGGCTTTCCTTATCCATTCATCAGTTGAAGGATATTTCATCCCCCCCCCCATAGGATGACATTGAAAATGACACAGCAAATTATCTGTGAAGTAGATGGTCATTCTTTTGGACATATATCCGTGAGTAGTTATAGCTTTGTCATATGTAGGGTTAGTTTTAGCTTTTTGAAAGTTCTCCACATTGACTTGTATGGTTACTGCACCTTGGCATCTATTTTGTTTTATTCAAGAAGGATTTCATGTAGCCCAGGCTAGCCTCCAGCCTGCTTTGTGGCTGAAGCTGGCCTTGAACTCTGGTCATCCTGCTGCTGCCTCTCAAGTGCTAGGATTTTAAGGGAAGCACCAGAGAGCTGAGGTCCTCCAGGGCTATGCTAATACTTAGGCTCAGAACACTGCTGGAACTATCTGAGGGTGACCAGAGGCATGGCACTCCCTACACCAGGACACCTCCAGGCCTCTTCTTCATATTTCAGTTCATGAAGAGAGATCTCTGTGCATTGACATGGAACCCACAGGGTCCAGAATTTTGTTCAGAAGAGCAAAAGAGTGAATTTAGCAGAGGTGGGACCAGGAAAACATTGCTATATGTCTAGAGGTTATAATCAAAAGGCTCTTTACTTCCCTGACATCTGAGGACAGATGGTAACCATGAAGGGTGACACCATTGACCCAGTGTCACCTTCTCCACATGTGTGGATGTGCTTCCTGTTCTCGTGGGCAGGCATTGGTCCCTCTAGGACTAGAGAGCAGATTCTTGATGTGGGAAGTCCTTCTGTATGTGTTGCTTTTTTTGGTTAATGAATAAAGAAACTGCTTTGAGACTATATCAGGGCAGAACAGAGCTAGGTGGGGAAAACTAAACTGAATGCTGGGAGAAAGAAGGCAGAGTAGAGAGAAGTCATATAGCCCCACCAGAGACAGACGCTAGACGGAAGCTTGCCTGTAAGCCACAAGCCTCATGGTAAATACAAACTAATAGAAATGGGTTAATTTCATATATAAGAGTAAGCCAGAAATATGCTTAAGTGATTGGTCAAGCAGTGATTTAAATAATATAGTTTTTGAGTGGTTATTTTGAGTCTGGGTAGCAGGGAACAAATGAGCAGCCTCCAACAACAGATCCTATCTGCTGGCCTGTCCCATGCTCAGTCTGCGGTGCTCTGGAAGAAGCTCCACCAGAGACAGGTCCTGCTACACACACCCCTAGGAGCCCCCAACAGCCTATGGATGTTGTAATATGAGCAGCGGGGCTGTGTCCCCGGCACCCGGCTGCCCACATGGCTAGCTTATGCCCCGAAATAATTACACAGAAACTGTATTCTTTTAAACACTGCCTGGCCCATTAGTTCCAGCCTCTTATTGGCTAGCTCTTACATATTGAGCTAACCCATTTCTAATAATCTGTGTAGCCCACGAGGTGGCTTACCAGGAAAGATCTTAACCTGTGTCTGTCTGGAGTGGGAGAATCATGGCGACCAACTGACTCAACTTTTTTCTCCCAGCATTCTGTTTTGTTTACTCCGCCTACCTAATTTTATGTCCTATTAAAGGGCCAAGGCAGTCTCTTTATTTAACCAATGAAATTAACACAAAACAGAAGACTCTCCCCCCATCATATAGATTCATCAGACTCTGATGGACACCTCCGTATCACCACCACATACAAACCTCTAGGTTTCTGGCCTTCACCCCTCATACCCTGACTTCTAGAGGTGTGGTGAAATAGAAACAGTGCCGTGGGATTCAGGGGGACCTCCTACCTAACAGAGTGTGTGGGCTATAGTGTGATTGAGTGTGCACTGTATCAGCACTAGCTGGAACCCCACTGCAACCCACATAAAATTCTGACTATCGGGAACTGTTACACTCCTTGCCACCATGTAAACTTGTAGATATCAGGCCCTCTTTCCTTCTACCTCATTCTACAGTCACTGCTACATCTCAGGTTATTAGATAACCACCTCCTCTTCTGCTGAAACCCCACATGCTGTTATGTATCAGGCCCTGTGACACCCCAACCCCCAGCCTGTACTCACTGCTATTTCCTGTACCACCTCACAGAGCCACCTGGGCATCAGTCCCTCTAGCATATTCCATCTCCACTACCACACCTCTAGAACTAATTCAGTGCTGGACATTCCCGCCCACACTGTCCAGTCACACATACACTACTAGGTCCAGGTATGAGATCTTGTTGGGCAATCCCCTGGAGTCCTACATATACTGCTGTGGTAGGAGAGGTCCTTTTGTCTATGTGTTGCTTTTATTGGTTAATGAATAAAGAAACTGGCTTGGCCTGATAGGGTAGAACAGAATTAGGTGGAGAGAAGCTAGGCTGAATGCTGAGAGAAAGACGGGTAGAGTCAGAGAGAAGCCATAGAGCTGAAACTTTGCTGGTAGACCACGACCTCACGGTGATGCACAGATTAATGGAGATGGGTTAAATTAATATGTAAGGGCCAGTCAATAAGAAGCTAGAGCTAATGGGCCAAGCAGTGATTTAAATAATACAGTTTCTGTGTGGTTATCTCAGTTGTGGGTGGCCGGGATGAACAAGCGGCCCTCCTCCAACACTGCTATATGTGTCGGGTCCCACAGAACTATCCCCTTTCCCTCCACCACACATATTGTACTTTGTATGAGTCCCTCACCATTGCCACCCAAGCTACAGTGCCATTATTCGAGCCATGCTGGACTCCCATGTGCTAACCTCCCATGGAAACTTACAGATATCAGGCTTCCATATCACATACAGTTCCACATATCAGAAACACCTAGAAACTGTCACCCCTTTTGCCACCCCACAAAGACTACTAGGTATCATGTCCTGCTGGACACACATGGGCCATTGCCACATATGCACATCTAGGCGTCAGGCCATGTTGACCCTGATGCCAAGACCACATGTGAGCTGCTGTATATCAGGCCTTGCAGGGCACACCTTCCCTGGAAGCTGCAAATCTAAACACTGCTCAGTATCAGGTCACACTGCATCTCCATCCCTGGCCAACAGTCAGTGTCACATAGATTCAAAGGATGATGTTCACACCCTGCATAGGAGATACCCATATATCCATGCTGACTGTGGAACTATTCACAGTTCAAGACAGTTATTTAAGGGACTCTATAGCAGACAATGAGGAATACTGAGAATTCAAGAACAATTGCAGTGGGTTTTTGATCCTACTGCACGTACTGGCTTTGTGGGAGCCTAGGCAGTTTGAATGCTCACCTTACGAGACCTGGATAGAGGTGGGCAGTCCTTGGGCTTCCCACAGGTCAGGGAACCCTGATTGCTCTTCGAGCAGATGAGGGAGGGGGACTTGATCGGGGGAGGGGGAGGGAAATGGGAAGCGGTTGTGGGGACGAGGCAGAAATCCTTAATAAATAAAAAAAAAAAAGACAGTTAGGTAGGAAAAGCATGTACCTAAATGATTCTGTTAGTTTGTTAATTTAAAAATTTAACACGTAAAGAAAAGAAGCAAGCCTGACGGTAGTGGCACACACCTTTAATCCTGGCACTCAGGAGGCAAAGGCAGGTAGATCTCTGAGTTTGAGGGCAATCTGATTTACAGAGTGAGTTCCGGGACAGTTAGGGCTACACAGATTTAAAAAAGAAGAAGATGAGGAGGAGAAAGGGGAGAATGAGGAGAAAGAGTAAAAGAAGAAGAAGAAGAAGAAGAGGATGAAGAAGAGGAGGAAGAGAAGGAGAAGGAGCACTCAAATTATCCTTGAAGGTTTAATTCATATTAGCCACCTGCATTCTTATGAAAAGCTTTTGAATTTCATTTTTCATTAGCATTCTACAGATGAAGACAGGATTATATTATTCTAGATTTTATTGAAAATTGATACTGCTAAATAACAGTGAAACAAATGACATTTTCATGTCTGATGTGAAGAAATCATTTTATTAGTAAATATAAATCTGCAGAAAGAAGACACCCTGAGAGCAACAATCACTGAGACACAACTCAAGTTCCACTGAGAAGCCACATGTGTTAAAAACTAAAAACCTGATGGATTCAAGCAGGCATCTTCCAGGAGACAGAGAAATTCTGGGCATGAGGGGGCAAGAAACAAAACGAGGAGGAAGGTCTGTCTCAGACTGTTCCAGCAGGAGGACTTGGAAGGAGGGAGCAGGGAAACCAGGAGGCAGGAGGGTCTGCTGGGCTTGAGGCTGGGGAGGGGCTGTGGCTCCCTCCCTCCTGCCAGGAGCCCTTTGTGATGAGGAGGCCACAGCTGTGTGATGAGATGGCCTGACAAGCCTCCTGCTGGACTCCCAGGACTCAGTGGCTTGAGAGCTACTGTGCAATTCAGAAGATGGAGAATTCTCTCTTTCAGCTGAGCAGCATTAGTGACTACTGGATGAGCCTCAGCTCCATTGTCATGGCCAAGGACATGATCTTTGGTGTTATGTGTGGAGCAGGGCTCTTCTTGCTACTGATCCCCTTCCTGAAGAAGTACTCAGCATCACCACCACCTGGGAGTAGAAAGAACCCCCCAAAGGTGAGGAAAGCCTTGGTTGAAACACAATGGAGTGTGTTCAGTCTGTTGCTCATTACTGTTACTTCCCCTTTTCCTAGTCAAGCAGAGAGACAGCTGAGAGGAACTCTCCAGAAACAGCAGCACCTCATCTGCAGGGGCTGGAAAGTAGGGCACGGGGTGGGGGGGGGGGGCTTGAGGTGTGTGCCTGAAGCTCTCAGACCAGCTGATTGGTGTGGCTGAGAGGCCACTAAGGAAGACTGGCTCCGTGGGCAGACTGCATTTCTGAGATGGAGGGGACCTTAGGGATAGCACAGGCTCCGAGAAAGAAGTCATCTGTCCTCTGTTCAAGCCCATGTTTTGTGTGTGTTGAGCTGATGTGAAGGGGGTGGTGAGACCAAGGGCCTCAGACCAGAGTTTAAGTCACCTCAGGTCTGAGGAAGTGACCTTACCCAACAGCCCAGAGGCAGCAGCAGAGCTAACCCTTGGGTAGGATCCTATCTGAGGAACACTGACTGAGGACATCCATGTAAGAGTGGCATAGACAGCCCCTTCTTGTGTTTTCCAACAACGCCAAGGGGAAATGTGTTTATGCATAGAACAACTGAGTCAAGGATGGATGAGAGAAAGCTCTCCGGGAATGTGGATTTTGTGTTCTCCACCAGCACAGGAGGCAGGCAGCTTGTCCACCAGAGAGAGGAAGAATGGGCCCAGCTCATTTCTGTCCTTTCTCACTGTCAGGTGGTGAGGAGAGGGCAGAGCAGGACAAGGAAGAAAAATGTCTCTGCAAAAGGTAGGCGTCTGTTTCCCTCTGGAGAGGCAATTCCTTCTGCCCTGTCCTCACTGATGAGACCATGATGAGAGCCACGCTTTTGAGATACAGGATGCAGAGCACTGAGAAGAGGAGGCTTCTGGGAAGGAAATCAGAATCAGGGAAACTCCCCAGGTCCTGTGAAAGAAAAAAGCTTGGCCTGGAGTGGGTGCTGCCCATGGGCTGGGGTGAGGGGTGTGGTTCAAGGCAGCTGTGATGCTGTGTCCCTGTAGGCGGGACTCTCAGGTCCGCCTGAGAGCAGGTAGCTGCAATTCCCTCAGGCCCACTCCTCTTTCAGATGACTGATCCTGGGTCCTCACAGTGTCATATGGGGAATGGCAGGGGGAGGAGGAACAAGGAAAGTGTAAATGAAGAGATGTGGTCCCTCCATGCCACTTGCTCATTCTCAGTGCTCTCTGTGCTTGGACACTGGAGGTGGGGCAGTAGAGTCCTAGCATGGGAGGTCTCTAAGAGGGGTGCCGCACTCTCCTGTGAGATCTCGGTCCTCTCCTTCATCCTGTATAACCACTTCCAGGTGGCAGAGATGGCAGAAAGAATGTGGAAGAGACCCAGAACACATCACGACCTGTGGAAATGTAAGAAATCTACCTCTTGTGAATTAATTTATACCAACCAGGATGCCAGCTAGGGGTCTGAGGATCTTTGTACTGGAGATACGGTACAGTTTGGAGTTGGGCTCTATAGCTCATCCTGTTGGATGAGATAATAAAGGATATGGGAGGTGGAGGCAGTGGAATGACTATGGGCTACAGTGCCGTATTTATACAGCCTGATTGGCATCTGTACCCTCTGCTTGGAGCCGATGCTTTTGCTTTCTGTTTTCTGCAGCCCCATCAAGGATCCTTTATTGGACTCCATGTCATTCCCACCTTGGACCACTGATAAGAAACTGGATCAGCTTCCCCTCTCTCAGCTGTTGTCTTACTTCAAGTTCGTCGAGAATCTTATACAGAGGAAATTTAGCCAGATTTTCTGGGGCATGTCCTCCATGCTCTCTGAGTCAGCGGTGGCTTCTGCCTGGGTCTCCAAGAGACCTAAAACCGTGAGGTTCAGTGATGCATGTGGTCCTTTCCCAGCTCTCCCCATGGCTCAAGGACCTCCACAGATTTCCCAGACCCAGCCTTTGCCCCACCAACTTGTGACACCAAGCTTAGCAGGTTTGACAGAGACCCAGACACTGGGCAATCACCTAAGCTCTACAGCAAACCAAATACTTTCTTCATCCACAAGTAGTATCACTGTAAAACCATGTTCTACCTGTGAGACAAAGATATGGGCATCCCTCCCGATTGAAAACCAGCCCTGGCAGCAAGGTCTGGAGTGGAATGACACCATAGACTCTAATGTACAAAATCAGCAAGCAGGCATTAGCTGGCCCACTCACAACTTGCCCAATGGCACCCTGACCACTGAACCTGTCAGGTCAGCCTCCATCCTTCCTGAGAATTGTCAGTTCCTCCAGCACCATAAGGGGACACAGAGTGAAGACAAGGTGACTGAGGTGAGAGAAATACGAGGCTCCCCCTTCACGGTCCTCTCGTCCCCGGAACTGACACAGCTGTGGGGACATTTCCCAGCCAACAGTCCCTGCCAGCCCAAGAACAAGCCTGGACTCCCAAAGCCTGCCCAGCCCTCCATCCTCGACTCCAAAAGCTGCAAGCTGAGCCAGATGATGGGGTCTGTGCCCTCGGTGATGCCCTTAAAGAAGTCAGAAGCATGTGACATGCCCGACCCCATCAAAAAGGGCCCCGGTTTAAGTGCCAATGACTTTCCTTGCACATCAAGCAGCAGCCCTGGGGAAGGCCTGGAACCCAGAAAGCCTGCACTGAGGACAGATCAACAGTCCTATGTGAACACTGTCCAGGACCTTTCCTTCCTCGACCCAAAGACTCAGATGAAGCTGGAATCAAACATCACGCAGCTTCCTATGAAACAAAGAAGGAGACCATATCTACAGACTCTTGAGTCAGGGGATCTCACCACGCCAGGGATTCCAGCCTCATCCCTTCCCCAGCCTGTGTATCCCTCCTCACCCACCTCTGTTTCTAAGGCTGAATACTATTCCAAGGCTGCCATGGTCTTAGAAAAATTGCATCACCGAGATCCAGGAGGGACAAGGGTAGAAACTGTGTCAACTGCCAGGCTGCAGAGTCCTCTGCTTGCACACTCACCTTCACAGGTTCAGGTGATACAGAGAGCCCCTCCACCAGCTGCCAGCCATGGGCCGTCCAAGGCCCATCTAGATATAGGGAAGAGCTACCTGAGCACTAAGACCAGGGCTTTCTGCTTCCAGACAAGAACCCAGCAGAGCAGGACTGTCCAAGAGATTGGAAGAAGCAGCGTGCAACCAAGGACCAGCCCAAGAATTTACAAACCTGCAGCATGGATGAAGTTTGAGAACATGGCCTCAGGACATCCCTGCTGGAGTGGGACAATGCTGGACCCTCAAGAAAGGATCCCACCTTCAGTGGTCAAACAAATCAATAGGTCGAAGGAGAAAGAAGGGACTCCTCCTGTATGGAAAGAGAGTCTGGAATCCATGGAGTTTCCCAGTAGCCAAGTCATCAATATCTATCTCAGGGACTTTGAGTCTACAGAGGCCAATAGAAGTCCAGGCCATTTCCAAACACCCACTCCAAGGCACTCAGGAGACTCAGCTCTAAATGCACAAGTATATAGTGAGACTGACTTCAGATCAAGCAAGCAACCACAGTCCTGGTCCGTGGACCATTGTTCAGACAGCTCCAGTTCAGTGAGCTTGCCTTCAGAGCACCTGTTTCCCATCTTCAAGTATAGAACCAAAAAACCCAAGACTTCCCAGAGCCTGGGTCATGTCTTTGTGAGGAGGGATCACAGCCAGGAGACCCAGGACTTCAGATTTCCCAAGGATAAAATTCAAGCAACGAATCACAAGGTGTTTCATCCCAATGAAGAGAGGGGAGAATTTTTGAGATCCAGAGCCAAAAGCCAGGGGGAAAGGCTTGGGGAAGGGCAGTCATCCCAAGCCGAGGGCCTTAATCCCTCTACCCAGATCAAGGACACAGCCAAAACGGAGTGTCAGCCCTCCCTTGATATGCCAGGAAAGGGACAGGCTCTGCCAGAAAGTTATCTGAAGAATATCATAAGGATTATTCTACAATATCTCGACCTCAGCACAAAAGACAAGGGGCAGAAGGATTCTCTGAAGAAAGAAAGCTCCCCGCCATCATCTACGATGACCCAGGAGGAGTCAGACATAAAAGAAAAGCTCATCTACAGCTTGGCAACTGAAGTGCAATCTCTCATGAACATTGTCGTACAGCTCCTGGTGAACTGGCTGGGCCTTAAGGTAGGGCACCCATCAGAGGCACAATGGTGTAAAGCGGAACCACTGATACCCCAGCTGAGAGACTCTTTTTTTCATTTTCCTGAGGGCATCTACAAACCAAAGAACAGCAGACCAGAGAAAATGAGCTCTGGTCCCCACACCAGCCCCATGGCTCAGAGCCACACATTCAGGAACAAGGTGATCGGGGACAAACATGAGTCAGGTATTGCTACCCGGGAAACCTGTGTTCCACATCAGAACAGCGTGAAGAGAGGAATGGGCTGTGAACAACCGCGCAGTCCCAGTGGAAACATGTATAGGGGAATTGGAGATGGACCGCCATCAGGCATTGCTACTGAAACTGCCTGTGATCCAGGTCAGAATAGAATGGACTGTGGTTCCCATACCATCTCCCAGGAGCACAGCCATCCATTTACATACAGAGAAACTGGAGAGTAAAGGCTGTCAGGCATTGCTGCCCTGGGAGCTGGTCACCCCAAGGAGCAGGTGCCTCAGGCTGCCTTGGCCTTTGCTCACCAGTAAATCTTCCAAAAGCTATCTCATCTCCTGGCCATTGTTTCCCCCATGCTTTCCTGGTAATAAACGTTTTGGTTTTTTCTTGCAAAGAAAATCTTCCTGGTGAAGCTCATCCTCTGTTGCTCATGGTTCCTTCCCAGATAGGAGCTGCTTGCTAGTTCATGCTCCTGTCTTTCTTCTTTCTTCCCTCCCCACCCCACTCCCAATTGAAAATAAATTCTTCTCTCATACATTAGTACATTACGTCCTGTTACAGTTTCCCCTCCCTCTATTTCTTCCATAAGCCCCACCTGCCCAAGGACAAGGTAACTTCCTGGAATGCTGGGAGTTGTAGTTCCTGGGAAATACAAATCACGTGTTTTCACTCCCCTCAACAAGTTTGTTTGACCCAACTACCCCATAGATGGGAGGTATATAGGCAGGAAATATGTCTATACTTGCCCCTGATTAGACCTGATGGGAAATGCAATAATTTCTGGGGTTTGCCCTTTTAAGCCCCTGCAAAATGTGAATCATTTTGCTGGGATCCCAGACTGAACTCTTCCAGCATCCATCCTGGTCAGTATTTAATTAAAGCTTGCTTCACGTTTAGCTGAAAACTGTGGGACTGGTTTTTCTCTTGAGAATCTGGGGATTAACACTCCCCACCTTCCCTCCCATCTGGATCTCTTCAGAAAAGATCTGTTCTATTCTAAGATATAACAACCAAACATGACAAAATAAGATATAAAACAAAACCCATCACCTCTAAGCTGGACAAGGCAACACAACAGAAGGAAAAGAGCCCCAAGAGCAGGCACAAGAACAGAGACCCACTTGTTCACACACTCAGGAGTCCCATAAAAACACTAAGCAGAAAGCTGTAACACAGAGGACCTAATGCAGACCCATGTGGGCTCTGTGTTGGCTGCTTCAGTCTGTGAGTTTATAATGAGCCTTGCTCAGTTATCAGAGGGCCTTGTTCTCCTAGTGTCCTCTCTGACTCTTAAGCGCTTTACACCTCCTCTTCTGCGGGGTTCCCTATGCTCTGAGGGGGAGGGATTTGGTAGAGACATCCCATTTAGAGCTGTATGTTCCAAGGGTTTTCTCTCTGTTTCAGAAAATATCAGGATATCATCCAGTTGGCTATTGCTGACATAAACCAATCTACTAAATTATCTTTAATAACATTTGATAACTTCTGTTCCTCTACAGAGGCCTGACTAAAACAGCCAAATAAAAAATTGCATGTATCAAAGATAAAATGGCATACTGTAAAAATTCTCAAATTTCAGTAGAAGCTCCATTAATCTATGACTCTTCCTTCACACGTGTCTGAAAAAAACTTACTATGTGTATAACACAGAGGTCTAAGATCAAAGTGAACATGTAAATGCTAAAAAGACAAGCATCTCTGAAAAAGATCTCAAAGTGAACATTTAAGAGAATTCTCAGGCACTAAAAATTAACTTACCCAGTAAACAGCAATGAGACAGCAGAGAATACCAACAACGTCTTGAAGGCCTATTCACATAGGCCTCTAATACATGTAAAATATCGATGCTTGAATGTTCTCCACAAAAACATCTGGCCATATATATCATAAACGTGAATACATACACACACACGCCCATGTGTGTCAGTGAATGTTACACTATCCTACAGGGAAGGGAAGGGAAAGGAAGGAGAAAGACTTGCTTTTTCCATAACCTAACAATACCAGCATGACCAATATAAACCTACTAACCTGATGTCATTGAACACAGAACTTGGAAGAAATGTCGCTATCTGCTACCAAAGCCAGATCCTGTACACCTACGTTATTTCACATAAGAATGGCACACAATCCACCTGCTCCCTTTGTAAGGGGCTCCAAACGCCAAGCACAGGACATGTTTCCAGAGCATGCATACCTCCTAGTACATGAACACATACATGTGATCGTTACCTCTAGCCTCAGTACACAGACTCCTGTCACTACCATTTACAGTTAAAACCCGTAGTTACCCTGAGTACTCAGATGCCCCTGCTACAGGTATATATAAAAAAGCCACAGATGTCTCTTACAAACATGTATAACATGTTTCATATGTGCACACAACAGAAACAGTAGACACAAACTGCAAAACCACTAAGTGTCTGCTAATTTTCTCATGTACTACCCTGAAACAAATCCATATGAAGTCTCAGTCCTGAAATAACTATGTTCCACAGTTCCTGGATGTACAACTGACACAGCGTCGCCACTTCTAAATACAAAGAAGCTCCCACTTCTACCAGAAAACACAGTCATAAGCCCCAAGAACTCAAATACATACAGATGCAGACCTCTACTGAGTGAATATTCACGGACAAGTGCAAACACCGGGGCCACATATTCAAACAAAACTTCAAGGGTTCGAGGCCAGCCTGGTCTACACAGCCAGTTTTCAGGATAGCCAGAGCTGAACCCTGTCTCAAAAAAAAAAAAAAACCCTGAAAATAAAATTAATTAATTAAATAAATAAATAAATACATACATACATAAATAAAAAGTTTCTCTTTGTCACAGCTGACCCAAGCTGGTGGGAGCTCACCGACTACGGACTGACAGCTGGGGATCCTGCATGGGACCGAACTATGTGGTTTGTACATATGAATGTGAGTGGCAGTTATGTGGCTTGACCTGTGTGGGGAGGGTGGGGCTAGCAATGGAACCAGGACTTATCCTGGGTGCATGAAATGACTTTTTGAAGCCCGTGTCCTATGGTGGGATACCCTGCTCAACCTTGATATGGGGTATGTGGGGGAGCTTGGTCCTGTTTCAACTTGGTATACCAGATTTTGTCGACTCCCCAAGGGAGGCCTTACCTTCTCTGAGGAGTGGATAAGAGGTTGGATGGAGGGAAGTGAGGGGTCGGGGGAGGGAGGGGTAACTAGGGCTTGTATGTAAAATTAAATATTTTTTAAACCAAAATGTCTCTGTATCATTATTAGAGATCTGGCAATATAAAGAAACACCTGTTGCATATCACCATAAATAATAGGACAGAAAATGACTCTTTGAGAATGTTCCCAGCACAGATAATTTTATAACTGAAACTAACCTTACTAAAGAGACCAGAGACAGTTTCACTAATTCAGTCCCTTAAGCTTGATTATGAAACACTGCACTGGGTTTGTGAGCCATACTCAATTCACACAGAACACATCAGTCACCTGATACCTCAAAACTGACAATTATTAAAAACCAACCTATCAGTCAACTCTGAAAAACGTGTCTTACTTAGGGTTTTCTAGCTGTGAGGAGACACCATGACACTGGCAGCGCTTATAAAACATTTCACTGGAGCTGGTTTACAGTTCAGAGGTTTAGTTCATTATCTCCACGGTGGGAAGCAGCACACAGCCAGAACCTGTGGTGCTGGAGAGGAAACTGAGAGTTCTGCACCCCGATCAGCAGGCAGCAGGAAGAGAGGGATACCGGGCAAGGCTTGAGCATTTAAAACCCCAAAGCCCACTCTCAGGGGACACACTTCCTCCAAGAAGGCCCCTCCTACTCAAAGAAGACCACACACACCTCCTAATCCCTACCAAGCAGAGCCTATGGGGCCCGTTTTCATTCAAACTGTCACAACGTGGAACAGGCTCTACATCCTGCAGCATCACTTCAACCATGGTCTAAGTTTTAATATAAAAATTAATACACACACTGTTCTAGATTCATTTCTGTTGCTGTGATAAAATTCCCCAACAACAACAACAACAAAATTACAACAGAGAAGGGTTTGTTTCAGTTTACAATTCCAGGTTACAGTCAGTCACTGCTGGGAAGTTGCTGCAGGAACCTCAAACAGCTATTCACATCTTGTCCATATTCAGGAGCAGAGAGGAGCCCCTTACATGCCCAGTTCCTGACTGCCTAGAGAATGGTGCTCTCCAAAGTGGACTGAACCTCAACTGACTTCAGATAGCGCCCCACAGAGCAGACCAATGCCTTTCCAGATGATTGTAGACTATGTCAAGTAAACATCTGTCTCATTAGTTTTTCTTTCACCTTAATACATGGCAGTATGTATACTATTTAATACATACAAAAGGTGGGAGGTTTTGATGTATGGCTTATTGCCAGTAAACAGTTCATCCATGTACTTATATACATAGATGTACCTTGGTGACGTGAAAGATTCTGGGTTGAAAGGGGGACATAAATGGACAAAGTTTAAGCATCCCTGCTCTTGATCAAATGTAGAAGCCTGCTGCTATGTGTGTCTCACAAATGCCTGACGACCCTGCTGTCAACCCCCAGGCCCTAGGGTGGAGGTGGGCATGGGTACTGGGCTCCCAAGCTCCCCGAGGTCAAAATGTGCTACTAAGAAAATGCCCCATGAAGCCAACACATCTCTGCCCACTCAGCCACGGGCCATGAGCTATATCCTGTGTCCAGTGGAGCCTGGTAGAGGTATGGCAATGTATACAGGGCAGCAGTAGTAGGGCATCCACAGGGTATCCTGATACTTATCTCACACACATGCATACCCATACACACACACACACACACACACACACACACACACACACACGCACGCACTTCACATGTGTCAGGTCCAGCTAAACACCCATCCATCCCAAATAAAGGATCTGCTGAGTATCGGGCCATGGGAGACACCAAACATACTTGGCTTCATTAAAGTAGAAACAAGAGCCACGCTTTGTTGTCACCAATGGACACAGACTCTCCTACTCTTGTCCCATGAGCAAGCTGCTCAGAAAACAAGACCTGAATTGAAACACTGAAGCTGCTATGGGAAGAGAAAGGGCAAGCACTTCATACGTGGGCATAGGCAAGAACTGTCTGAATGTACACCAATGGCACAGAAAAGAGCCCCACAAACTGACAAATAAGAATACACAAAATTAAAAGGCTTCTGTGCAGCAAAAGCTGCTGTCATTAGAAGGAACAG